AAAGTTATGATAAAATTTCGTAGCTATAAGCCTATTCCTACTAACGCCTGCGGTAATGAATACCTCTAACTATATATAATAAATAAGTTGCATGATATTGATAAATAAGACTATAAACATTTTTTCAGATTTAGTCGAATACAGTTTGCTTCAGTTTTTTATTATTAGCGTTCTTCGGGGCCGCTATTCGAATTAATAAATACTCTAGGTAAATACATCATTTTCCTAGTATAAATTTACCCTGTTTTACTTGTGAAGAAATCTTCCTGGTTAGTACCAGACTTTTTCTAGCCAAAACAACTTCTACTATTTGCTTGGTTTATCTTTGAAAACTTTTGTTCTTTTTATTTGCTTTTACCCCTGTTTACGGTATTCATTTTCTTTCATTGTCGCTTAATCTATCTCAGAAGCTAAATATACATTAAGTATACAGTATTCAACTTTGTTTGCTGCCTTGTTAATAATTAAAAGTAATCATTTGTCAGTTTTAAGGATAAATATAGTTTACGTTAGAACTACTTAGAGGGGTTGACTTCCTGAAATATATTCCGGTGTTTGTGCTTAGAAACTGTACGCCAAGTAATTACAGCTAGTTACGGCTTCTAATGACATTTTTGGTTCCTCTCGATATTCTGAAGCGAAATCTCGCTGTGGTCACGAGCAGGATGCATCTAGTGATAATCATTTATTCGATTACCACGAAAGTTTTGAAATCTATATAAACCCTAAGCAATTATGTTTACAGAATCTTGTCGCCTTCGACATGCTGAGATTCTATTCTATACAGGTTGAATTTTGTAGATAGTTAAACTTTAAAGGATGATATTATATACAAAATTATAACCATTATAGAAACAATTTTGAATACGAAATTATTATTTAATACTAAATGCTAAATTATCTAATTATTAATAAAAAGTTATCCTGTATGTAGGTAGTATATATTATGTATTACCCTATATTATGTACTTATGCTTTACCGTATCGTAGTAGCTCTTCAATTTGGTATGAATAACCCCGTTCCATTTAAGCTGATGATACTCGTAGCTAGAAGGCGAAACGCGGTTTTGAAATATGGCGTGGGATTTGGACGGGACGTAAGTTTGCAGCGGTACAGACGAACGCGCTTCTCACTAACCTAATGCCTGCACCTGCTACCAAGTGAGATTTGCGCTCCTAATATATCATACTCCTACCCAACCACTTGAATGTACTCTAAATTACTATTACGTTGATCATCAGTTTGTTACCTATCAGTTTCTGTTTTATGTATGTGAACAACGCTGAATTATAATTATGTAGGAAGTACATGTCCCTGGAGCACAATTTGTGTTTTTGAGATTATATTTTGACGTTGCATTTAGGACCGTTCTAACAGAGTTTAGAGATCACGTACGCAATCAATAATACATAAATGATATATAGGGAACAAAGCGATCGTCTTTGAACATAATTATAATAAACTCGAGAAATAATAAAAATTTGGAGATTTTAGGAGCTTCAACGCTCACATTGTGACTTTGCTTTCTTATTATAAAGCTTTTCACGTTTTCAATAAAACACTAATAGTGACTCCGTCACCAGACCGACATAATTAACCATTTGCCGAAAACTAAATCGCTTTAATTTTCGCAAAAAGGTAGGTGGAATTAAAATTAAATTGAAAAAGTATACAGTCAAGAACATTGTGGGGACAAGGCAATAAAAAAGGTAATCAGCAATCGTCAGATGCCTTGAGGCAGATTTCTGCGAATGAGGCACGTCGTAACGTATTTATAGACAGTGTTAAACTGTTGATTAGATAGTGGTAGCGTGAACGAACACAACACACCCTCGACTCCTATAAACTAATAACTCTTAATTTACGAAGCACTTTTATTTAAAAAATCCAACTTGAGTTTCATTTAATTTTTACCTAAGCCGGTGGAAACGAAATCGGAATCAAGCTGTAACGTGTAATGGTATTAAACGGAGGTTTTGTGCAAGCCTTGCAAAGAAAAGGAAAGCGGATGTTTACAAATGCGGTTATTCGCAAACAAATAAAAAAGTTTCGATCATTCGTATTGTGTTTGTAACGGGTGAGTTGAGATGGCAGCATTGTAGTGGTGAGGTGAAATTGCGCGCTGCATTGCGGAGTGGGCGGATAACGACGTCACAGCTCTGGTGCCGCTAGATTCGCCATACGCTGCAAATACGAAAACTCATAATGCTTATTCTCTCCTTTCAACCTTGTTTTCGTAAGTTGCGGCGCGATAGAGCCTTGTAGAAAATAAATACAAAAGGAAAGCCAGTAAAATAAAAACTACTGACATTGACACTTCTATTTCAAGTAGATGTCTAGCAAACGAAGCTTTTATTGCGTAGGTTATTGACAAATAACAGTTTGTTTCAAGATCTCGCTAGCTTTGTAGCTTATGTGTGTACACATACATATTTTTTACGAATTTAATTTATTGCATGTATTATATTTATTAATTTGTTTTTACCAGGCACTTAAAACGAGTAAAATGGACTAAATTTCTGTACTTTGCACTCATTTTGCTGATGTCCAAAAAGAAGTCTTGTGATTAAATTAGAATGTATGCGAATCCTTCAAGTTGTATGTTTTCATAGAATTTCTTCTCCTTGCATCTCTATCTCAATTCCATCCTTTTACTCGTCAACTAAAACACATTATGATTTTAATAATATACATAATATATATGTTATGTATCTTATAAAAGTTGAGTGTAGGTATATTGTTTTTATCTGTATAACAGTAGCCAACTTGAGGGACCCAGATTTGCCGATGCCAGTGTACTCCTGGTCGTTTTAGTGCAGGCTTTAGACGTGCAGGTTCCCCGCTATCTATATCTTAAACCTATTTTGCTATTGTATTGGGATTATCCATGTGAGAACTACAACATGTGCACCTAAGTTTATACTGTTTGATTGAGCGCTTATTTCAAATTTTATTTGTTTTTTTATTAATATCTTAGCAAATGCTTGTATTTAGAGGTCATACACTGAAATCTGACTCTTATCAAGTGGAGCTTAATGGAATCAATCATACTTCATGGCTGAATCAATCACAACAGAACGATTAGATTATTAATTAATATACTTTTGATTAACATTTTAACACATCGCAAGAGCATCGTGCTTTTGCCGGTTGATGCGCTGTGGCCATTGACTTACGCTGTGGCAGATATTTTTCTCATACATTAGTGCAAACGTTTATAAACGTTATTCTACGGGCAGTAGCCCGTATAATAAAATGAATCGTAACAAATAATGATAGTGACGTCAATGGATGTTGACGTCTATAAACTCAACACGTTGCGCGTGTATGCCGTAGATATTGGTATGCTGTTTAATGCTTACAAACTTTTCCTGTGAAATTTCGATACTGCGTATCCCTACAGATTTCAATATTTTGATATTTTATTTTGTATAACCAAATAGCGTTTTCTTACGTTCTTCGATGAAATAAAAAAAACAACGTAATAATACGTTGCTGTATATCACTTACAAATGTTTAGTGCGGCATAATACGTACGTCGCGGGAATTTGATAAGTAATAGTTATGAAATAATATAAAACGTCAGTGTTAGTCAGTCAGCGTTTTTTTTTTCATGTTTGCAGTGATTTATAAACTATATAACCGAATTAAGTTTGAATTGTATGTTTTCTATTTTTTTATTTGTAATGCTTTTTATTTTATTTATGTGTTCGATTATAGAAAATCCGTCCTGATACTATCGGTTGTGTAGAAATGGCAGCAGAGCTCATTCTTCAATGTTGATGCGATTACGTTTCAGAACGAAAAAAGTATCCCAAGAGAGTAATGCTATCAAATTCATCCTGTGAAGGCGGACTAAAGATAAAACGCTCAGTGAGGCGGCGAAAGAAGTTTCACCATTGTTCGGCTGCGCATAATGCTCCAAGTTATAAATATAAAAGCTCAATTGTTTTTAACCTTACGTCTTCTTCCGCCTCTTTAGGTTAACAAACTTTAGGTGACCAAATTACAACTGCAGAGAACTTTTTATTGAAATGGTTTTTTACAATATGTTTACGCCCTAATGCGTAATCCTGGCTAATTTAACCTATTATGACACAGGGAACTACAATGGGAAAAGCGCTAATGGTTCGATGTAATTGAAATATAGTAAACATTAACAATTATATACTTTAAGCTTAAGCAAAGATGCCCTCAATTTTGTGTGGAAAAAGAAATTTTCCTAGATATCCTATGGTCACATAGAATATGTAGCGCTATTAAATGGGATATTTTCATTATAATGTACACTAAGCGTTTACGTTATCTTAAGAATTAATGTTGTCTGGATCTGAATCATTTCACATTATTATATACATTTTTATATACACAAGGGCATTAGGAGGATAACTCACCACTAAATGGCGAAAAACAAATGCAAAAATATTATTTAAGGTAAAACGAAAAACAAAGTTAATGGCTCGAGTCATTAACTAAGAATTTTTTTTTTCAATAACACATTTGGCAAAGTGCTATTGTTGCAAAAAAAGGCGGAACGAGGAAAAAAAACAGCAGAAAACAAAATTTGTATCGAATGATAATATTTATGGCCTCTCTATAGCACTTCAATGGCAGTTGTTACGCTCGAGCAAACATTAAATGTTTTATTACCTTAAAAATATGGTAAGTAAACATTTTTAGGAATTTCAAAAATTATCGAAAACTTCATGAATAAATAATATTATAAAAAGTAAGAAAAAATATAGTGTCGTGTCTATGCAGAACTTTATTGAATCATCACAAACTAAGTAGACAATAGTGTTTAAAGTAACTAGCCAGTGTTATAACAGTGGTCTTATATTGTATTTTATACTATTTTAAATTACCAAACGTAGTGATATACATACGTAATGGTAACTCTGTGACTTGACTAAAGTGCTGATTCGACACAATGTAAGTTTATTAATATGATAATGAATTGCTACATATATAATTCCTTCACGCCTATCTAAAACAATCAATCCCTCTCATAAGTAGTCAATATCCTTTATTCTTCATTTTGTACTTGTAAGAGTATAGTCCTTTCCTTACCAGCAACGTCCCATTTTATTTAGTGAAGTACTTACACATTTACGTGAGTTTACTTAACTTTAGACGTGATAACTTTGTAAAAGTTTAAATTTATTTAAAAAACTAAAACTAGTTATTTGGCACAAGGACCTTAGTTTTAAGGTAAAATATATTAGGTAACTAAAATTATAAAAACGGATTTTCCGCCCTACCAAACACGATAGGACCGAATTTTAAATTGGAGAACACATCGTTTTATGTTTAAGACGTTAATCGTAATAAAAGTATAGTTAAGTTACAAAAAATTATTTTTGTTCCCACAACAAGTCAAGTCAATTCTACAAATTATTTACTTATGTTTTAAATTCTTCTTATAAATACTTATCCGTAATATCGTTATATTTTTAAAGAAATTCGAATAGGTACAACTACATTTTTATATTTTCAACTCTCTACTGTATAGCATAAAGAAGTAGAGAGGCAAGTGTAGCAAGATCAAGAGCGAGAGTAGCAGCGCCGTTTTCATCAGCGGGGAGGTAGGAGCTAGGTGCGGCGGGGGCGGAGGGCGAGTGATGCTGAGCGTGTGTGTTTCCGTAGGAGCCGCTACCCTCGACGAAATCCTCGTCATCGCTGGACGGTACGGTGGCTTCGTTCTTGAATGCCTCCGCGCGCGGTATCTCGCCAAGCATCGCAACCACCGACATCTCACTAGTCAAATTCACCCATTGAGTTTTCGAGGTAATTGTCGTAGTTTTTGGGAAAAAGATGGTCTGCTTTATGGGGACAGTGATAAGTTTATAGATGCTGTCAGTATCGTCAACTGTGTCGCCATAGCGGGAGACGTTCCAGAGCGCCTCTACGAAGTCTGTGCCGCTGCCATTGCGAGGAATGTGAGTGCGGGAGAAGTCGATCAGCTCTTGGCGCAGCTGCGAGCTGAAAGGAGCATTGCACAAGTGGGAAGTGCACACGCATAACATAGTGTATTGTTCATCGGAGTAGGTCAGCGAGCATGGTTTCTCGGCGGTAGCGGCACACGTGACCACAGACGTAAAATCTGCAATACAATAAACATTTTAATTACAATATTTTAATATACACAAACGAACAGAATAGAAAGGATTAAGACCTGTATCGAAATGTTGCTGTACATTTCCGCAATTGTATTTGGCGAGGTTTCTCAACGTGCACCACGAATACAAAAACTTAAATTTATCTGCAATGCAGATCCACTGCATTACTCGTGGCGTTTTATTTCATAATTTCCGTGGTCACAGGTTCGACTTTTTGCATCTAGTGCTACGTATTAGAAATTGATAAATGTGTTACACCGGTTTCCAAAAAGTCACCTCTTAGATTACGAAAGTTTATATAACCTTACGTATTAATATTTTTATTTAGTCTGAATAAAAATGAAATACGAAAAGAATTACATATTTAATAATACAATTTATTTTAGTCCCAAAAAGGTGCCATTATGGTGATAATAACGTAAACAAAGCAACAGATTTTATCAACGTGTTCTGTGCATAGATTAGATGCAGTGTTTGTTTACCTATGAACAAGCGTGTAAGAGTAAGTAAGAATACATATATTTCTTCTGATAACGTAATTGCGAACTGGGTAGATGGTACTCACAGACGAGTTGCTACCATAGTTGGTTGCTATAGAACGCGACGCAGTCACTCGTCGACAAAAAACAAATGGGCTGATTGGAGCTAGCAACCTCCAATTAAAGAAAAATTCAAAACCCGACCCAGTTCGCTAACAACAGGAAGCTGTATTTGAAAAATATTATTTCGCCATACTCTTCATTCAAGTAGAGACGAGAAACATGGATAAACTTGGTGCTCAAATTACCTTAAATTACTTATGTGTAAGGATTTAAAGAAACTTATACAAAAAGAAAACTTTATTAAGACGTACTTGGTGACGTAGCAACAGTCGCGCAATAAGGTTGGTCGGCAGGGCAGAGCGTAGCGCGTACGGGACCGAGTCTCGAGCCACATGGCTCGCCAACTCCCTCTTTCACGTCGGTATCCACGCCGCACTGATGGCAGCGCCGGCTCACTACGTCTGCAGACAAACATTAGACCCTACATATCGGCAGCACAGACTACCCACAATAACATACACTTTATCAAAGTTTAGAACAGACGCCAATACGGATATTTCGCATTTAGCCGTCATAGTATGTATAGTCAAATATCTTTTAAAACCTAATCCCGACGTGTAACGTTTCACGTAGCAGATCTATTTTCTTTTAATCAATATTCACGAAGTTGGAGCGGAATACCGGATTTTGTATGTACATATGGATTTTGTATGTATATAAATATCTACTAACATATATATAATTACTTCAGCTTTTAATTGTCATTGCAGTGCCAATTAAGGTAAAGTAAGTCCACCGTGATACAGGGCGTCGCATGGGTGTAGTTAGTTATGAAATCCTATTGTGCTAGTGCACAGGATCGAATAGTGTGGTTACGTGCACGTATGTGTGGTGCGGTATTATTCCACGTATCCCATTGAGTGTAGATCTCCAACTGTACATATACATGGAACGCTGCTCCTATTAATTAAACCGGAACCGAACTGCCAAACTGCAGCGTAACAACGTAACGTTGTTCATTTTGGCGTAAAGGTACATGTAGATATTACGTACGCATTCACCTGAAAGCCGAGTTGGTCTATTTTAGTTAATAGTTTGTTTTTAATGTTCGCTGTTGAATAACCTTTATCAAATGCAACATAAAATGAGAAATGAGAAATGAAATATGTAGATCAAAATAAACATTTTACGAAATACTTGAGTTTCAAGCATTCTCGTGAAGCTGCTTTCATCTGAACTATTATTATAAAATCTAGATAAGAGCTCTTCATCTAATTCCGTAAAAGAAGCGAAGGTTTTCATGCTCAACTAAAGATTAAAATATCAAAAGACGTCAGCAAGTAAAGGAATAAATTTGTGTTATGTTTTGAATTCGCCTACTCACTCTTACTCATTCAAAAGAGTAGCAGAGTTCAAATTAAAATATACCTTTTAGTGATGTATATAACATGGAACAAAATTACGTTTATCGATACGTGAACCGACTAATTAAATCTTAAGAACTTCTGTATTCGTTATGTACAGGAAGTAGACGTATTGTACCGGGTACACTGTGCCCAGCAGTGTATGAGTATGAGTATATGCGTATGAGTTTGAGAATGTCTGAATATATTAGTTATTTTTTTAAATACCGTTTTTAATAGGAGTTTCTTTTTATTATTCACACAAACAATTTTCGTACTAATTGGTAGATAAGTTGATGGGATGAAAATACAACCCGATACTCGTGCAATAGACAAAATGTGACAACAACGAAGTTTCGAAAAAACATGATGGATGTCGCGAACACTTTTTGGTATGCGCACTAGGGGTCTTATTAAACGAGACAGAAAGATTTTTATCAGAACAGATTTTTATTAAAAAAACCGACCTTTGAAAAGTTTGTCGAATTACGTCTATTTGCACAAGTTTTATTGTAATTGATTAACGGAAAGAGGGCGAAATCTAATAGACCAGATTCATCCCCTAATTTGCCACCATTAGAAGAATATTTTCTTTAAATTGGCTGGAACCTCTATTGAGGTAACCCAGCCTTTCTAACAAAAAAGAATCATCGAAATTGTGCACAAATGTCGGAGATATCGCGTAACATACTCGTACAAATAATCCACAAGTTTCCTTACATTCAATTATTTCTATCAAAATTAACGCGAAAGCTCTTGATTTCAGTTTTAAAAACAAAAATAGTATTTGGAATATAATTGCTAGAGATTGTTCGTGCATTGAATTCCAAACTTTTCTACCTGAAACCAAAATGGCATTGTAAACATTAGTGATTTTAGCGAATTTTCCGTAAAAATTGAGGATGCGGCTAGAATCGCAATCGTGTATTTGCAAAATTGAGAAAACATCGCGGCGTACGACAATTGGTTTGTTTGTTTCTTTTTAATAAGCAATTTTTCTAATTTCTCTTACTAGCTTTAATGAAAGTAATTCCAATTTTAGACGGATCGAGTATTGTAGTAATAAACTGAACGATAAAGTAAACGCTGTCAGTCGATTCAAATACCTACAGTATCGATTAACTGTGAAGCAGCTTGGCTGAACAGAGTCAAAAGGAGTGCTTAGCCCATTTTTGTATTAGCTCGTATCGTAATATTGAGGTGTAATGACTTTATTTAACGTGTAAAATTATTTTCAGAATAGAATATCAATTATTGCAACCATAATATAAATACAGTTACAAGTAAATAGTAGTATCACATGCCCTGCCAGGATATAGCAAATTGTATACGTGTTTGAAAGAACATGTGTACGATTTATTTCTATAATGATTTATTTCTAAAGTTACATTCGTTAAAGTTGTATGTATATTGCATAATATTACATATTAGTATTTTTAACCGACTTAAAGAAGAAAGTTCTCAATTCGATTCTATTTTTTTGTGTATGTTACGCGATTATTCCGTATATTAATTGTGAATCGATTTTAAGAGGTACCTCAGTATTGGTCCCATTTAAATTTGAAGAAAATATTCCACCTTTAAGGATAGCAAATTAGGGGATAACTCAGATTTATTGGATTTGAACCATTTTCCGTTAACTGTTTTCAATAAAACTTGGCAAATAGATGTTATTCACAAACTTTAGAAATTGGTTTATTTTTATTATAAAAAAGGTATAAATGTAGCATTTATCTCAAGTATTTAAGTAATTGGAACTTAATTTTCACTCGGCCTTAATTTTCGCTCTTTGTATTAATGAGCAAAATTAACTTATAAAATATAAAGCCTGCTTGTTTATACAGGGTGGAAATAATTTGCGGGTTACGAAGGGGAACTACCTTAATTATTTAAGATAGCTAATTTTATTTAAAGGAAACATTCTTTTATTTTTCGTAAATAGAAGTTACGTTTATAATTTTTTTTAAAAGCTTACAGACTTAGTAGTGGCTGGAATCGAACCAACTACAAGTGCTCAAAATAATCGATCACTATTTTAGTGCATTAATTGATAATCCTATCAATGATTAGATTAAATTTTTCGAATGAACGTTGGGTCTTACTATTGAAGATGTCCGTTAAATATAAAGTTAATCTAATATTAGTATCGCCTCTAACATTAAGCACGCCTAGATAGTAGTTAACTACTAAATACGTAAATTACAACTTTTAGCGGATAATTGGAAATTTTTACATAATTTTGTGAATCATAATTTTCTTACATTTCAATAAATTAAGTTGCCCGAAGTAAGACACATTTCTCGGATACACAGACGTAGTCTTCTTTGAAATTCACTTCATGTAGCCTTCTGTAAAGTATTGCCATGGATGCTCATAATAGCTTTTTGCACTTCAACCCTTAACTCGTCTACAGCCTCATAAGGTTTCTTTATTCTTCAGATATTGAAATTATCAATAAGGTAAGCAGAGATTTTCTGCTATTTTTGGCATCTTTGATTGTAAGACCAAATGTTTATTGGAGAGAATTCATTCTCATAATTTATCATTAAGCGATTGGATTAGTCGAATAAAATAGTGAGTGTTCATTTATGCATTTTAAGTTTGATCTGTGAATACAGTTATTCATATTAAAAAAATAAAAAATGTTTTCTTTAAGTAAAATTATATTAATATATATTAAACTTTTAAAGTAACTCCCCTTCATGTCGCATTGATTTTTTGTATATTTTACGAACACTATTTTTGAATTTTTTGAAACTTAAATCAAGAACTTTCACGTCAATTCACGAAACACGTCGTTATGCCATTTTTGCCTTTGCCAAAAGTAACATTATGTTTACGGTTTGTTTCACTCAAAGGGAATAAATAATTTAACCACACGATGCCAATCTATATCCTTTAATCACCATCACCATTACATGTCTATCTGTCTCGTTCATCGACTATGCATAAGGCGCGCTATAAGTTTCCGGAACTGGCCACTTACATAAACAATATTCAAAAAGTAATTACAACATTTTAAAATGGAACTCTTTGGCTGTAGAACACGGTTTGTTTCGTCTGACTGTCACTTGTTTTTACATTGTGGCGTTGTTTTAGAAATTGGTGTAACCCGTAAAATTTAAAATTTTCGTAGTATGATTTTCTACGACTTTAAGTGTAAATTAACAGCTCAGCGGAGCTATGCTCGGCTTCAAACTGCTTTTGGGGATGAAGCACCATGCAAGACGACTATTTATAGGTGGTTTGCAGAATTCAAACGCGGTCATGTGAATCTCAGTGACGAATTTCGTGATGGTCGCCCGTCCACTGCTGTGAACAACAAAATCATCGATGCTGTGCTCCGTATGATTAAAACAGACAAGCATGTGGCATACCATGAGATTCGGGCATCTTTAGGAATAGGCATGAGTCGAATACAATCAATACTACACAAACATTTGGGTGTAAAAAAGCTGTGCTTTCGGTGGATCCCACACAATTTACTGAGGCTCATAAAACGTATCATGTCACTTGGTGCAATGCCATGCTTACCAGATTCAACGAAGGCGCGTCAAATTTGCTGTGGGCTATAGTAACAGGTGATGAATCATGGATTTATAGTTACGATCCCAAAACAAAGCAGCAATCGAGTGTATGGGTCTTTCGAGATGAGGGGAAAACAAAGTGGCACGCATGCAAAGTGCCTCTAAGCGGATGATTGCTTCTTTATTTAATAAAACTGTTGTACCGTGAATAGTGATTGGTACACGACCATTTGTTTGACGGAAGGTATTGACAAACTCCGTAAAAATTATAGTGAACGCCGTATTTGCACCACGATAATGCCAGTTCCCACACGGCCAGACAGACAAATCAAGTTTTGAAGGTGAACAATGTTCACCTTACGTGTCATTCCGCGTACAGTCTCGACCTGGCACCTTGTGACTTTTATTTATTTCCAAAAATTAAGAACCAGTTACACGGTCAATGATTTTCATCACCTGAAGGGGCTATTGAAGAGTATGAAAAAATGTTTCAGAGATTGTCACAGAGGAGTGGCATAAATTTTTTCAAAATTGGTTCATTCGTATGAAAAAGTGCATTAACGCTAACGGAGAATATTTTGAGAAACAATAAATAAATTTCTGACTATTTATAATATTTTTTTTCTTATGCATTCCGGAAACTTATAGTGCGCACCACGTATAACCAGAAATAGAGACGAAATGTCATTTAATTTGTTTGAAAAGTATTCTGCCAAATCTTTACTGTGACAATTGCGCTCCGATTGGCAAGCCAGAATTCGAAACAATTGACGGGTGTCGTCGAATATTTCACTTTCAATCGAGCAGTTTAACTTGAACTTTGCTATAATAGACGAAAATTGTAAAATTATATATTTAATATTTGATTACCGATGAAATGTGATTCCATTTGTTTTGTAATTAGATGTTTTGCTGTTTTACCCATACTATCGAATGGAACAGCCCCCATTGTTAGAAATATTATCTTGATTACAATAAATGCAGAATATTTTTGGAATAAACGGAGACGTACACACTGGTCAGTTGTTGGCGCTGTACTATTTCAGTTTTCTAATTTGTGATTTTGAGCACGAACGAGAGTTGATATTTAAAAGTTATATAAGGCCCATTTACTTGATGAGTTGCCAGGGATGGATGGCCGTTATTTCGTCTCTGTTTCTGGTTATATACTCGATGGTCTCGTTTATTAAGACCCCTAGAGCGCGATCTTTGTGTTTTGTGAATACAAAAAACTGTTTGCAAATACAGTTACCTTTTTCTGTTGCACGAGAATCTTGTGGACTATTCATCCCATCGGCTTTTTAACCAATTACTTCTAAATATGTTTGTGTGAATATTAAATAGAAATCCCTAATAACTTTATAAGTTAAGGATGAGTGGATTTAAAAAAGTAACTTATATAGGTACACTCCACTACTGAGCACAGTGTATCTGGTACAATACCTTAACTTCATTTACAAAACAGAGACAGCCTACTCCCATACTCGATGCTCACGCAAAATGTTACATAAATCTTTATTGTCGCAATTTAATGGGTGCGAAAGCGGTCAGACACACGAATTATAGGAGAATAAAACTTTTGGCATTATTTTTTGGTACGTGTCTTCTGTAAAAGTTCGCGTAGACAATAACTCGGGGTACCACAGGCGTCCGCCTGCTCGCTACACCACAAGTCTTGTTAAAACAAGTCGCTAACTCCCAGAATGCATCACAAACTTTGTGTTCGAAGAGGATACGACAAAGTCAAGTTTCTAGCGCTACTGTACTTTACAAAATAGATAATCTAATTACAGGAACGAAATGTCCTTCATCATTGCCATTGTTGTTAAGTATTAATTTAAGTTAAGTAAACGGCTTTAAAACCGGGCGCTTTGGACAAAAACTTTTTAAAACAGAATGAGTCTTAGTCCACTGCCCATCTCTGCACCCGACAACAGATCCGCGGTATTGTTATTAACCGATTTTTGGCTTCCTGTCAGCAATCGCAACTGGCGTTAAGAAGGTGCAAAACTCAAATTATTATAGTAAATAAAAATAAATAAATAAATAAATTATATATTAGCAACATGTGTCAGATGCGCGGAGTTATCCAATGCTAGTTACGCGTAATTGCACTATCCTCTACGAATAAGTTATAGTTTACACTAACCAACAACTACCAGCAATAATTACTTAAAATTACTGCCTCTATTATTCCTAATACAAGCTCTTCCTGACCAATCTTGTGTCAAGGTACGAATCTTCTCCAGTGGGATTCGGTTCGCTTCTTTGATGAGGGTCCTCTTTAGAGAATCCAAGTTTGGGTGGGACTTTCGGCAGATCCTGAGCTCCATTTCAGTCCTGCTGCGATGCAGTCCGGTAAATTTTCTCAGGGGACAATTTGCCGGGCTTGAGTCGTTTTAGCCTTATAGCCGGTATTGTCTTGCTGTTTCTTCTTGTCGAATCAATGACAAAAACCAATAAAAAACCAGTGTTATATTTCTTCGGCCCAGTAAGCAGCCACCTCTATTCCCTTATCTGTTGCCTTTAGCAGGTCTTCGCGGGTCGGAAACAGTAGACATAAGAGCAAGTGAGCATTACTTTGTGTGTGAGATCCGCAAGCACAATGTTTCCGAGTCGTATTGGCAATGATGTTATACGCGTATTGGTACATCTCAGTTTCACCACATTGTCCCTAAAATCGGCCAAATTGTGACCTGAGACAGGGATTTCCATAGTGACCACTGCAACTTGTGCCCAGGGGGAAGACTTTCGGTGGGGGTAATAAAATTTGAATTTGGCTTGCCAAAGTTTGCGACTCGCGTCTCTTGGGCTATCTTCTATAACGGTGGTATGTCGAAGAAGCTCTTACGGCTGGTTAGTCATACTGGTGAGAGCTTGTGGCCCGACTGATGGGTGCCGACTATCAATGTCCTGCTTTCGTTTCTCTTCTCCACATGCTATCGCACATCGCGAGGAGCTATACCCGCTAATGATAGAGGAATGGCATTCATGCATCCCGTTATGACGCGACAAATATCGTTCAGAGCTATGGCGACGGAACTCGTGTGGGCGAAACGACGCCACACTGAACATTCTTTGTTGTGAAATAAAGTATTACATCCCTGTCTATTTCGCCACAGTCTGTATAATGCCACTTTACAATCTTTTTCGCATCGTGTCTTTTTTGCACCATTGGACAACTTGCGCGTCGTAATTTAAGAATGCGATCATTTAGGAAGTGAACTTTCCTACGACTGCAAGCCTTTACCTTGAGATCGTATTTCAGTATTTTGTTCATTGAAATACGCGAAATGCTAATCTGCAAAACGAGTTTCTTCTGAGTGCGATACGGATTTCGGCGAAATCGCCTCTGGTTATTTTGATGTTCGCAGTCATCCTTACGGACCGCGGGCAACCATTCCTCTGTCGATCTTTCAGAGTATCATTCACCTTATAACGTTTCGTGGTGTAATATACAAGTTGCGGATTGCTCCAAAACATTTTACGTCACGTAATATCTCATTAGTTTTTTTCCAGCCATATATAGGGAAATTGCAGTCGCACGAAACTGTTTTACTCCTTCCAGCACGAGAATAATAGTTGAACAAAAGAAATTAATTTAAAAACCTACAAATAGAACATAAACTTTGTAAAGTCAAAATAATAAAAAAAGAATTAAGCAGCTGCCAGTATAATTTTATTTTATTTTTAAAAGTCACAGTTGGTCTCAAAACTTTTGAACACACAAGGTACATAAGGAAGTACTTACAGGATAGTGAAGTCCTTTAAAAACTATATTCGTATTTCAGCTTAATTTTACGTTCAATCTAACAATGAAGCTGCCAATAATGTTTGATAAAAGACAATAAATATCATAAAGTAGATAATGAATTCGCTCACAAAGTAATTACGTAATATTAATATATATAATAAAAAAAAATCGCTTTGCTCGCTCAGTGTAAATATGATTTTTCTATATATTTAATGCAACGCAGTTAAGAGTTATGGGCTGTACAGAACAATTACTCAGTGTTTTGCTGTTGTATTATTATATTGCAAATGCGAAAGTAACTCTGTTATATTTTCACACTTAAACCGCTGAACCAAATTTGGTGAATTTTGGTATAGAGATAGATGGGACCCCAGGACAAGGACAAAGATACTTTTTGTCACAGAAATAAATCTAAAACGGGGCTGAATAGGGGATGGAAGTTTGTATGGAGAACCAATCATTTCTCAACTAAGTAGTACAGTACTACTCGATGTACTTATTCTACGCAATCGTTTGCGTCGGGGGCACCAGCTAATAATTATAAATATATAATATGTATAGATATATAATTATTAGCTGGTGCCCCCGACTGCGTTTACAAAGCAGATATGCTTTGTATTGATGAGGATATTTTGTCAATTACGTAAAATGTCATAGATCAAAGTTGCATCCGTTAATCAAATTTATAAAGTTATTTCACATATCAATGAGTTCGATCTCATGGTCATGCATTATAATGCAAATGTGTTGAAATGCCGTTATATGGACAATACATTAATACTTGTGAAAGACATAAACAATAAGGGCTAATGTCGCGCGTTGACACTATGCACAAAAGCTCTTTTTTATACGCGGTGTTATGAATTTCCATACTACTTAGTTGTGTTTGGTTGGTATACGATATGACAACTCAATGCACAAAAAACAACGGTGTGCGCTCAGATCGTTCGCTCGCAAATTCAGGTTTTAGTGTGTACTTTAGCCACGCAATATGCGACACCTGAAGCGTCAGCAGCTACAAGTGCTACATGTCTTTCGTACAAATTTATATTAGAGATTTTATACAGAATGATTCTGAGAGCGCGTTTTTTATGTCAATTCATTAAGCTACTGTTCTAATTCTAATAGTGTGTCAAAAGAAAACAAAGCGAATAAAAATTGTCAGTTCCATGGAACATTGTTAAACGTAGAGTTAGTATTGTGAAAGCTTATAGGTTTCTAATTTAATACTCCAAAAGCTCACCATGTAAAACACATGCTTAGCAAATTAACAAACAGCACGAAATCTTCTATTTTGTAGACCATACATTCGTAGGAACGATTTGTTTTCTTTTTTGTCAACATCTTGTAACTATGATCAATTTATAACTCATCACGAACATGTCACTACTAAAGTCTCCTAAGGTTTGGATTGTAACTATGGGACATGGTTATATTAACAAGGTGCCTTAGCACAGTTTATTTTGGATATATTGCATTTCAAGTCGCAGATGGAGCTGTTGTATTGTCTTAGCTATTGTCTTTGTTATTGTATTGTCTTAGCGAGTCGAAATACGGGCATACGAGTTTAATCTAGAGTATATACTCTAGATTAAAGTCGTTGAAGCATACAGAGTTGCCTATAGCCTCACCTTCGCAAAAGTCTTACCTTTAGAGGAAGCAGCCTCAGCGTAGTACTCGGTCAGGAGAAAAGCCGATAGCACCAACCACATCGTTGGAAAAATTGCTCGCATCTTCGCTCGCCTACGAAGATATATTCGATCATTTATCATACGTCACAATAAGTAGCGCAGTTACTAATAAATAAAAATGGGGTCTAGAAGATTGTATCTTTGGCTTAATTAGCTTCATTATCAGTATGGAAACATGCTAGCTCCAATGATCTTATATCTCAAAAAGATTTACAAAGCTTTTTGGAGATATGCATGGTGAACCGTGGCATATACCCATTTCTTAATAGGATATCGAAAAAAATCCATTATTTATACGTGTCGTGTAGCACATCTACCAGGATTAAACTGGTATGATCCACAAATACCCGGTATTAATTTTTTAAATATAAGGTTCCTAATATTTATCTTATTTCGTTACCAGCTATCCTGGTGCTATTTTAAGAACCTGAATAAATACATTTTCAACGTTATACCACAGCAATACTACTATAAAAAGACTCTAAGACTTAGAGTGGCAATTTCACAATTTCAAAACAAAATGTTATATATAATATTTGATAAAAGTACATTACTATCACGTAGATTGTATTAATAATATTGAAAACTGCCGGTTTAGAATCTTAACTTGTCTTACAAGCTGTGCAAGTTCTTGAAAGCTTTATCGGACTACGTAAAATGACCATTTTCGATCCAAATATTAATGTAACCGGCACACAGTTGAGTAAATATACTAAGTACACAAGGAAGAAAAATGTCGCGAAACAAGAAGGCGTACCATTGAATTAGTATATATATTATAGATATTGTAAGAAGACATCGATAATATACCTATTTATTTAAGAGGAAATTAAACGGATTCAAGCAAAATTATTCCTAAGAGGAACGTTTAAAAATGGAAAAAAGTACGAACTGTTTGCAATTATGGTCCTATTTTGAAAATTCTTTTTTTGTTTGAAAAGGTGCACACTTGAGGTGGTCCTATTGTCACCAAGTTAAAATCTGATGATGGAATCCCATGGAAATCGAACTAAATCCTCAAATTTTGTTTGGGCATATACAGGGTATTCACCGATTTCTCTGTCAATTGTGGACTGCTTTTGAAAATTCTTTTTTTGTTTGAAAGGATATATTCTTAAGGTAGTCCCGTTGTCACCAAGTCGAAATCTGATGAGGGAATCCCATGGAAATAGAACGAAATTCTCAAATTTTATAGACGTGCATAATGTGTTCACCGATTTCTCATTTTTAATTTAAGAAAATTATTTTTTGTTTGAAACGGCACAATCTCGAGATACTCTCGTTGTCACTACGATGGAATCTGATAAAGAAATCCCATAGAAAACGACGAAAGTCCTAAAATTTTATAGGCATATACAGTGTGTTTGTGAAACTGTTACAAATCAAAAGTTCTCGGATAGGTGTGGACGTGTTCATCTTTTCATTTCTCGTAATGATATAACGAGACAGGCAGACCCCGCACTTGATGATGGTAAGTGCTTGTAATTGACTAAACGACTTGTATTGTGCTTATGTGAATAACAATATTTGACTTTGACTTATCGTCAGCTCAGCAGCATAAAGTGATGACTCTTAGACTCAAACACCTAAATGGAAAGATTAAGACAATTCTCGTAATGCATTTTGATCATATGGTCGGATAAGTAATTTATTTCGTTCTAAATCACGAAGTGCATTACTCTCTAATGTTTAGTATAGACTTAACTAAAAACTAACCTGTCTATATATAACTTTAAAAAAATATCAACCAATTTCAAAAACCACAACAACACTAAAAAGCGAAAAATAACAAAATTAATAAATAACAAATCATTTTGGTTAAATCTCTATTTTGTTATTTTTCGCTTTTTAGTATAGTGACCGTACAGTTAAAAGTTGAAATGTACAAGCTACATCTCTCCATATTAAAAAGTTCTTTATTGCCTGTCGGTTGTGGTTTCATGATGTTGCTTTCTATTATGAACTTCTTGAGCTGTCAATTCACGCCTGCTGCTTTGTTAATAAAAAAAAATTGAGAGACAGAATCCTCTTCATATCTTAATTTATTATTCAAATAAATTATCACTATTTATTTAAGTACGTACTCTAAATTTATTTAGCACATTATATCTTTATTTTTAATTTATATCGCGTGGTAGCCCTTTTATTTATCGTTATTAATATATTATTAATTCACAGAATAACAAACGTAATATATACCACAGTGATGCCACATAAATAACGGAAGAATAAACGAAAATAGAAAAGGAAACGGAACAAAATAAATTTTATTAATTGTAATTTGTAAGACAGACAACTTTGTGTAAAAAATATAATTTAGTACATGTTTTTTGCATTTTACTAACAATAGGATTTTATTACAACTTTAGTAACAAAAGAATAAATTATAATGAATTACTCTCTGAAACTGATTAAAAAATATACTTTGTACGTATAAAATGTACACTTATGTACAAAATAACTAGTTAAACGCTTACATGATAGCAGTCGTAGATGGGATCGGGTAGTAGCGAGACTTGATTCACAACTTGAAACACGTGCTTTTAACCGGAGAAGCTACGGTGTCGTAGAGAGAGGGAGAGACGCGTAGCACCACCGTAATGGTTCGTAGCAAACTGCCGTAGCTAGCACATTCGCGCATGGTCCCAGTCACCCGCACCCGGGAAGTAACAAAATATTATTATCAAGTGTTTTGCTTCTACACTGCTCCTTTACCGTATGCCCGTTTTATAATTACTCGAACTAGTGCCGTAATGTATATAAGGCATAATCAACGAAGAAGATGTTCCGTGCTATAGATTAAGGTCGTGGCAACATCGTATGTTAATAAATACCAGCTGTCTCTCTATGGATTACATGACGTTAGTGTAGATTAATTCCAGTAATACATCTTAAATAAATTACAAATAATGTAAGTAGGTTTAACGCACGTATTATGTATTAAGTATACAACTGCAATTTTAATGCTGGAATTTTCGCAGGCGGAGAGGGCGGCGATAATCACATTAGTAGTTTTGATGTTCAAGTGATCAAAAACCATTTATAAATATTATTTGTTTACTGATTAGGTTGGAAATTGGAATAGGAAATCGTTATGACAAAACGTACACGTCGGAAAAAGTTGACACCAGTATGACGTGTTTGTTGGTACTGTCACAATGAACCTAATTCTATTCTCTATAATATATAATAGTATATATGTTTATTCATTAACTATAGCTCCCTCAACTACTGCAAAGATGAGCGCGTAGTTGTGATCACGCACATCAAAACGAATCTATTCATTTTGGTTGAGCGTTGTAGTCACGTAATGTTTCTTAGGAAAAAAGGCTTTCCCGACGGATAGATCGCCAGGAGTTATTATTACTTATAATGTATTCAGAGAAAGATTGCTCTTTTTTAATGAGGCAGACTGACGGTTGTCTACAATCCCACTTTGTATGTTGTAAGACTATTATGTACAAGGATGGTACACTGACTGTCAGAACTAAAAATATCTAGGGATAATTTTTATTAAGATGATCACAATTAGGGACATTGCTTTGTAGTTAGAAGTGACTAGAAGAAGTAGTACTACCCTTTACCTTTCAGTGGTATTGCAGAAAGCAAATATGGATTTCGTGATATTGGTTTCAAGCTTTATTACCGTTTCTCGTTCGCTTGCCATCTTTAGCGATTACGGCAAACTTTTGGCAGTAGCGAAGTAGGTATTAAATATTTATATGACAGATCATCGACGCTATTAAAAATATCCTCGAATAAGTGTCAACTTCTAGAGCCGCTTAAGTTTTAAATGCCTTATAAGACTGAATAAGAAAATTTAATAATTCATAAAAACGATGAGTTCAGCCTTTACAAAGACTTAAACTTCAAAAATGTATTCCAGCGAACCGTTTATAATTAATATATTTGAACCTGATACTTACGCTACACTAATATTACAAGTCGATGCTGAAGAAACTTTAGCCAAGGTGTTTTCTATCAACTGAGATTTTTGCATCAAACCGCCTTAAGGCATGACTCATTACTTAATTGGCAATTACCGCGGAGAGCGCGGGCCGTGTACATCACTCATCGATAAGAATATCAGATAGATATGACGTACATTAACGCGCCGTCTTTCTTTTATCTTTATTATCTGATTAGCCGCGTGATCCCAGATTGATGATTTGTTATCATATCAACGGAGCTTACGTAAATTTAATTACAGTTTTTGCTTTCAGGAGCGTAAAATGGCGGAGTTTGGAAAACATTCGCCTCTCTGGTAAAATTTTTCAGCCGAGGCGGTGTTGTTACGAAGTCGCGACGGGATATGAGCAGTGTATACCCCAGGTCGGAGCTTTGTTTGTTCTACTATGATTGAAGGAGGCGTCTTAGATAACTATTGAGTTTCTATATAAATAAACAAATGATAGTTGCTAAGAATAAGTGTATTCATAAAAATGTTAACGAGTAACTAAACTGCATTTTTCACAATTAAACTTTAAAAGTGACTAACAAGTCGTAACTAGTCATATAACAATATGAACCAAATACTTGTAGTATTTTATCTTAGCTTTTACATGTAGATCGTAAATTGGTGAAAAATCTTTCAAATTTAATAATTATCATTATGTTACATAAAACGTCGACTCCAACCTTTACGTAACCGTTTTGGCTAAACCGCCAAATGAGTTACTTTTGCTGAATATACGAAACCGCTCGTGCACTTTGCTGAGCAGTGACTGAGTTAAATACCTGATCCTTATTTATTTTTCTATTGCCATTGTATTTATGTCTATTCGATATTGTGTTTACAATGTTCTGTTCAAATTTAGGAACAATATCCTGTATTTTTTGTAATAAACTGTCACTATTACCTATTGTATGTGTTCCAGTGTAACATTATATTTGATTTGGAAAGTTAAAATCAATAGATGTTTTTTTGATTGATATATATATACAACCTTCACGCGCAATATGGTTATGGCTTATAAGCATAATTATCGTTTGATTCGTATTTTGTTCGTTTTATTATATTAATTTTATATGTATATATACTATAACTAAAGATAAATAAACTTGGCTTACCATTAGCTTCACGTACATAAGTCCACAAAATAAATTAGTTAGATCATAATCTAACAAGCGTAAAGCCCTCACAGCGTTACTATTATAACCGTTGAAAGAATTAAAGCTGTACATTGTTTTTAATAACCATTAATTATACGAACGCAGTATCGCTGAGGTGCATCCTCTGTCATGCCAGTGTCGAGATTATAATATAAACTAATTAATTGCATCGCGTGGTCTGACAACGCGTTACTAAGTCGTTGTCAAGACATTATATTAAAAAAAAGAAAAATATGAAATAAAAACATTTACATAATCTCGCAATATTTATGTCATGCAACGTTATATTGAACCGACTCCATTTGCTTAATCGGCAATAAGGTTTCTAGAAAGATAATTTTGACTATCAACTTAATAAATGTTCATTCCACAACTTTTGGAAAGTTTCCAAGTCTCTTTTGATATATGGCCACGATGAGAAGCTGACTGTGTTAGACCGTTTGTTAAGAGCCGTAGACGTTCCGTGTCGATAAGTGTGGCGACTCCCTGACTCGTAATTCAAATTACTTATTATACACATGATATATGCCGTAGGCCGTAGTGCACAGAAGTGCACAGACGAGGAAACTAAACTTGATAATTTTAAAGGTACAAAGCTTTGCATTTAAGTGGAGCAAGCTTATAGTGCGCGTGTACGATTCTGCAAAATATGAACATTAAATATAATTAAGTACAAGGTTTCTGAAATCAGTGGCCTTTTGACAATGACGAGTACGAAACACTTACACGGCTGTATTCTAAGGAATGGAGACATGTTATGAAAATAAATTGTTTTAAGATGTTTCAATTTTATAGGTTTTTGTTCTAGTAGACGACAGTCAGCGAAGCAACCGCGTACAAATTATGCCATTCGCTCACAAGAAGAACTACAATATACCACGCAAATCAGTGGATGACTAGTAGTAACTTTTGACACTATCCTCATGTCTTGAAAATAATTAATAGGGCGCTGTAAAAGCACGGGACTTCGCGACAGGGTGAAATGTTTCATTTTACGGGATGCACACTGGCAAACTGTGGTCAATGGCAAAATTTAAGTTTTCACAAGCGGTTAGAGTCTCTGTCGGAGGCGCAAAACTTGCTCGGAACATCAATCAGTAAAATGTCAATTTTTAATAAAAAAAATCTATGTATACATAAACGGTTTAATAATGAAACTTGTCGACCTGCGGAAGGGATAACATATTCTGCGGGGACGTCCCAGTGACGGGCAGGACGACCCAAGCACGGGCACTCACGTGTCTTCACTCAAGAACAAACAATTTACATACAAGCCCTTGAAGGAAAAAGGTCGTGATAGAATTGTATGAACATTTTCCCTTGACTGTTTCATACATATTTATTGTAAATGTTTTCAATTACCTTTTGTTTACGATGTATTTAATTTAAAAGTTGCGCAATATTAATACGTTTAGCGTAATTATAAATAAATCTCCAGAAGAATTCTTAAAATATTTTTTTTTACCTATCAATAATTTGTTAATATTTACTAAAATTACAACTTTGCATGAGAGAGGGTTACTAACGACATTTTACGAACAAAATTAGTCGACAAATAGGAGATTTATAAATTTTCACATACATACAGTATACATAATTAATTTCATGTAGTTTGTATTATTTTTATGACTTTCATGTAATAAAATCCCTTTAACGTGTGATCATATGTGGTTTTATTATACCAAGGGTAAGATGTCGTAATTACTTGTAGGGCAGTGGACTGTTTTTTTATTATATCATATTGTATTCCCTGGCGAGGGATGAATTTTTTTGTGCCTGAAGCCACATCGCGTAGCGGTTTATTAATGGTACTTTATAATGTCATTGCATACCTACATTACGTATATATTATATGGGAACCGAAAAAATGGCAGGATTATGCTCTGGCCACACAGAAGCGGGCGCGGGAATTATTGTAATGTTCGAGTTCTTATGAACCCTGCCCATTGAAACAGGCGACGGGGCGGGCGCGGTAAAGGGCCGAACGCTATGACAAACAGACGGACCTTCAGTTTCAATATGTATTCAACCGAAATTTCTTTCGCGTTGCTTCCGTAACGCTAAACGAAGCAGAACATTTTCTCGACCTTTCTCCGGCAGCAATGTGGTGCTTACTTTAAAATTTGTGTAGAAAATGAAAGGTATGCATTCGCTTCCCACAGTTTCGCCCTCGGACCGCTATTCCCGCCGTACCGCATCTGTGTGACCTGAACATAAAAAGATAATAAAACACTTCCAAAAATACACAACCAATATATCTTACCCACCTTATATTAATATTCTTAGGTATTATTTCCTAAAATTAGATATATGATCCTCGAGATACTCTTAAGACATTGTGAGGTATGTCACAATCCGACAGGGTGGTTGCCTTTGATCCCCTGTCATCCCTTCGTCTGGTTTTGTAAATACTTCATTTGGTATACTTTCACATTATTAACCTTTGTATTTCATCAAAATTTGCTTAGTAACGTACATTTGGTCCCTCCACATCAGGGATTCCGGAAACGGGCATGTTTTGAAGAATCGG